ATGAAACCACACCATATCATGAAAAGTCAAATTTCTCAACAGTGAGATCAAAAAAGCCATCMATATCTGGTGTATTTTGTCACAAGGAGTCANAATTAGAAAGTGTAAGACTTTCCACCAAGAATTCGGATTAAGCTTCAATCGAAAAGTTTTTCTCTTTTTTCTAGAGTTCAATATGTTAGGCCCACTGGTTTAAAACTATTTCTTGAAAAACCGGGGACGTGCCCAGAACGGAAACCTACCTAAATTAAAATCTTATGTAATTCTAAAAAGAATAGAATTGTAATTTCGCCTTTGAAAATTGCGTGGATATCTCAAATCAACGTGCAAAGACGTGCGAATTTTAGTAAAACGTTCCACCTTCGAGTAGAATAAATTAATCACTGTTCGTATTTATGCCGAAACAAGTTCTTAAACTTACCCTAAATTGGACTATTTTTGCACAGTTTCATCTACATACAAAACGTCTTCTTTCATTAGTCATGGGAAGAGTAAAACACACGCAAATGAATACAAAAGAGAGGACACCGGCTCCTTCGCCATGTTTACTTACATCTTCAAAGTTTCCCGCCAGACACAGGTATACCGCGCGCCATGTATTCTATTTGACTCACGCATGCGCAGACAAATGTCCCTGCTGTTCCTAATCTCTCGACACCAGTTCTTCTCGGTCAAGAATATGAACACAGGAACACCAAGAAGAGAAAAATGTCCGTTTCCGATGGAGTAGCCTGCGAAGGAGGCTATTGTGAAAGGTGAAAGGCAAAATTTGCTAGACGTCATCAATACTACGCCAAACAAAGAGGACGCGTGTCAATCTTACTGATCGGTTGTTTTATTTTAAGTTGATAACTAGACGATCATAGATCGCTAACGTGGGCTTCCTGTAGCTGCGACAATGGGTCAGCTGCCGCCGTTGAGCTACAAGTGTTTCATTTTCACGATACAATCTTTGTTTGAAATAAGTCAAGACTTTTAAGTCTTAAAAGAATTAAGAATTAAGTAACTTCTTTAAATATCCTGTCTTTCTCAGTTTCCAAGAAATAGCTAGACCAACGTAATGCTTTAAGAGCATCTAGATTATTCAAAATATGCAAATTCCTTAGAATTAAATCAAAATTTGACCTAACAATAGAAACGGTACTTTTTTTGCAGTTTTGTCAATACTGTAACTTGGAGTAATATTTTAATCGTTTGAATCATGTGATATCTCATAATAACTAATACGAACTTTGAGTCCGTGGACAGGAACGTTCCGAAAATTACGCTGAACATCTTTTAGTGTGGGCCTACCACGAACGGCGTGTGCGTTTGTTAGCGATATCAGCGTTCTTGTTCACAAACCATCATAGTTACTTAGGTTTATCGTTAACAGGCCACGAAGCCGATCGACAGTACAAAACAATACATGTCAAAAAAACAAAGCTCGGATTGGTGAAGTTTTACATCCCCATGAAACTGAGACTGCAGACCATCTGCAACGCAGGGGCTACCAATTTGACGTGTAATATCCATGACGAAGAAAAGCCACTTGCATTTTAAGACGTGAGATTCCACAGGAAGCCCACGTAATAAAACGACATGAAAGCCACAGTGCTGCTGCGTGCGTCTTCAAAAGTTTCAGTAATTGTAACTTTTTCATATTCACTTTCATTTTATGCAGATCGTGCCACAAACCGGCTACTTTTAAAACTATCCTGGAGAAAATAGAGCAAACGTGGCCATAAACTTGTAACAAGTGGCAATAAACACTAGCTGTACCCAAACCTACTCCAGTGATGATGGTCCAGCGTAATACCAAGAATTTGCTTCAAATAGTTTTCTAGCATAGAATATTCCAGGTAAGAAATAAACACTATTAAATTCAAAATTAAATAGGAAGCCACAACATAAACAAAGTTTAAGTATTTTTTTGATAAATACAAAACATAAGTCTCTCTCGAGAGTGTACTGATAGTTTAACAGCAGATGGGCGGATTAATACATACGAAGAAGTTATATTAATAACCAATCCAGCGTCCATTGGCAGCTATATTGAGTGGAGATATTGAAAATAACCCATTTATATTGAAAGAACACAACCTACCAAAAACAAAATCGCTGCATAGCAAAAAAAGGTGAATCAGAAAAGATTAAATCAGTACAATGTCACTCCACCCCGACATCAGTAATAACAATAATTTTTGATTTCCGTAAATAACAGATCCAATGGAATACTCAGATGAACAGCTCAACTTCTTCAGGCTGTGTCACATCGTCTTTGATATCGTCCCTGAAGGTCTGAGAAAGATCTTTAAACAAGAATGGGATGCTTTATACACAACTGCGCATGGTCAGTGGGATGACACGCCTGTCAGTTATGCCTCTTTTTATAGTATGGAGTCACCAGGCAGTCGAACGAGAAACAGACGTCTTTTAGGTTTGTTGTCTAATGGAAACAGAGCGAAGTGGGACTGTACAAGTTTGTTTCATGCAATACTGTTCTCAG